ATACTCTCCTAAATGCGTATAATTAAACCCAAGTGCAAACATTACCGCTTTAATGACCGTAGGTCGTTTTTACTGTCCAATGACAGCCCATCTTATATCTACTTTGAGTGGCATAGCAGTCGGAAGTTCATTTGTTGCCCTTACGAGTTTATAATAGCATATTTTAAGAAGATTTTCAAATGGATAAAGAAAAAAAACTGCCAAAATGTTTTTAAATGTTGGCTTTATTAAACTATATTTTAAACATGTGAATAAACATATAGGTCTTATAGGTCTATGTCTATTTATTTTTAATATAGGCCTACTATTTATTAATTTATTGTTCCATTCTAACATTTTTACATTTAACATGAATAATCAAACATTTAACATAAAACATGAATTGCGAAAGGGGGGCGTAATGACGCAAAGACATGCTCGAATTTCCTGCGGAAATCCACCAGTACCACTGGAATTAAAAACATTATTACAAGCTTACCGCTTTGAATCGAGCTAAGACAAGCCGATAGTTTTGAACACTGGCTAGTTATGTACTTGCTCAAAAATTTATTTTGGATAATTTTTAACCCAAAACAGTTGCGGACTGCAGCTTTAATGACTAGCAATTTCTCGCTAGAAATGACATCATAAGTGGAAAACATTGATCAAAAATGTACATTTACACACAAACTGACGACCAGCCGCAACTTTCAGACGCCATCTTTATTTTTCTAGCTCAACTGTCACAGACTGGAAAGCACAGGATTCTGGGATATCAAAGGCGATGACGGATACATCTATGCTGCCTTCAAAAATCGATCAGATGAAGGTATCTCAGGAGACAGGACTTGAAACTAACATTGCATTCGAATTTCGGACGTTCCTTGATGCCTTCTTGCCTTGGAATGTGTCCTGCGAAGGCAGCGTTTTTCAGTTTTTGGACGCAGCCAAGGTCTTATGAGGCATACTAGAAACTTCCAGGCAGGTGTGTTGAGGCAAGTTAGAGCTAATCTCTGCAGGACAGTGACCCTCCAGGACCCCGTTTGAACACCCCAGATATAATGCATTATAACATTACATAAGGTTTTAATTAAAGTGTTACTGATCATTCTTTTAAATCACTATGAAGAAAAGGAATATGAACCCATTCTGTTAAACAAGTGGACATATCACTGCACTCTATAATATCCGTGAAGCCGTGCTATATTGTGAATAAAATCACAGTAACGACCATTGTATAACACACTTCAGCCGTTTCTACTGCAAAAACAATAATTCAAAACAAAAACCTGCTGTCGCTTGATCATAACTGTGCATGTTAACGTACAGGGCATTGAATAATCAGCACAAACTGGAAATGTGTATTGTAAAAAGTAGTATACGGAATGCTGAAAAAAAGAAAAAAAAAATCAAAGAAAAAAAAAACTGATTTGTATTCATCCCTCAAACCACTCTCATTCCCTCGCTGATGCTGTCCTCACATCCCGTTCCCTTCTTCATTCCTCTTTCAGCACACACACACACACACACACTCACACACAGTTATGTAATCAGTGTAATCCCTCTTCTGTTTTATCTGAACATTCATGGTCTACAAATCACTGTGATGATCTTCCTCAACTGCTGCTCTGTCTTTCATAAATCACTCATCTCTCTGTTCAATCTCTCTCTCTCACTCTTTTCTTTTGCAGGAAGGTTCTGCAGCAAATGACAAATTCATTTCAACTCTTTTCTCTTCCATCTTCACCCTCTTGGGTTTTAGTGCATATTTTTTGTATATGAAATCTCAGGCGTGATGCATTCTTTCTATCTAATGATCTCGTTTAATCTGATCATTGGCTCGCATTCCTCTTCCCGTCGAGTCTCTCTGCGGTATATTCCTGGTCAGCAAAATGTCAGGCAGATCCTGCAGTCCCCCAGAGAGAGCCAAGCTGTTAATGAGGAGTGCGAGCTAGAGGCACACAGCAACACCCTGCCAACTGATCTGAGCTCAGGGGAAGAGAACAGAAAGAGAAGAGACTGGGAGATGCTGTGTTAAGAGAGGAAACAGCATGTTTGGACTAGAACTCATTGAGCAACAGATAGAAGGAGTTGATGAGGTGGACAGAAGAGGACATGGACTTTAGGAGGAGCTTGTAGCCTTTAAATATGAAACAGGATGCTGGATTTAAAACATTAAAACACATTGGAAATCCCGTTAAACTGCAAGTGTCTGACTTCACATAATGCACAGTTGTGAAATATTAGAACGCGTTTTTGATAAAACGAGATGCGGGCAGTGTGTGTGTGTGGGGGGCTGGGTCTCGAGACACACTTATTTTAACTTGAGACCCATGTCATGCGCGAGATGCTGCAAAAGATGAAGACGTGAGTGGAACGGTCAAACACATCCATCTAGCGCATTTACATAGAAAAACAATGGAAAAGTAGCACAGTGGAATGGGAAAATGCATTACGTGAACGGCCCCTCAGAGCAGTAATTCTTGAGACATGGGGCAAAATATGTGCCATAACAATACTTCAGTGATTAAAATTGATATTGAATATATATCTCTTACAGAAACATTACTGCAATGTAATGATAGAAGAGATTATTTTCAAAAAACTACTTTATATTGGGTTTACAACTATTTCAATTTTGTTTTTAAAGTTGGCATGAAACGTGCCTGTAAATACGTCTTTTTAATAAAAGGCACATAAATTGAATAAAATAATGATGTGCAAGCATAGATATATCATTTATAAATACTGCAATATTCTGTTAAAAAAGAAAGAAAAAAAAGTCGTTTTTGATTTCATGGTGACTTTAACAGCCAAATATTTATGAAAACATTTAAAATCATGAGTCCAGAAGGTCACACAGGAAAACACATTTTGTGGGAAAAATTAAGCAGGAGACGCACCCAAAAATAGGTGAATACCTCTGAACCTCTTATTAATCCAAAACAATTCCTTTATGATTACCTTAAAATTCTTCAGTTTTCATTTTATCCCAGTACTCAAGAATCAGCTAAAGAATAATTAACCTCAACTTTACCTCCAGGCCATGATTAAATCATATTCAAATGCATTGTCTGGAGTCTGTCTGGTTGCTGCTATACAGCATGTCAGTGGAACACTAGATACATTATTCTCAAGTGGTAGCTTTCATAGGGGGCGAGAACGAGAAGTCATCCGACTCAGAGTGAGACTCTTAGGCGTCCAGGGTTACCGATGCTTTCAGTAGCTATAGTTCTTAGGCATTTGATGCGGTCAGTATAGCTATAGGTGTCTTATGCAGTCAGAATATTAATATTAGGCATCTGGTATTCTAATGCGCTCAGAGTAGCTATTCTAATGCGTTAGGGGTTACCAACATAGTCAGGGTGGAGGTGAAGGGGAACAGCTGGTTTAACTTAAGTCAGGTGTGTAGGAGAAACCCACAACTCACATGTTTTTTTTTTTTATGTTTATTTATCTAAACAGCAATTATTGCACAGTGTTGACAATAAAAATATTTAAACATTGAATAAAAGATCAGAATAAAGTCATTATAGGGTTTTAGGGGTGACTACTGCATTTAAACATTGCAGGAACTTTAGGATGGAACATTCTGATAAAATCTTGCAGCATTTCACCAAAGCTGAAATCAAAAGCACCATTACTTGCATTATAATAGTTCCTCAGGATGATGTCTGTAACATATTTGCATGCCTCCTCTGTGAGAAAACTTTGGCAGCAAGTTAGTTTTATGCATCAAAAGTGTGAAACAGCAAACAATCAACTTAGAAATGGTCAAAAAATATTCAAATTAAATTTAGTTGTAATAACAACATTTGGTACAGGTCATTCTTGAAAACCCAGAGATGTAAATTCAGACTTGCATCAAACGTGAAGTATAGGTACGTGTGCAACATAGCAGAATTGCAATCTGTCTGAGTGGCCTGACTGGGTTGGACAGAATAACACTGGCTCAACCAATGGTGTGAGTTTGGGGTGGAACATCTGCCATGGCAGATGTAGAGTTTCATCAGAATGGCTATTACTTTTGAATTTCATTTGGTGACACTAGTGATGCAGAAATTACACACTTGTAATAAACAATAGAAATTGTTTCTGTAATTTCTGTAGTAACAATGTACCTGGTAAAATGTACCATTCGAATAGTGCTACAAACTATTAGAACAGGATTTAGGTCATAACGAGTTGCAAATTATGACATTTGTGAAACTACAGGCTGTAAAGTAGTACAAAAGAGTATTAATTGTATTATTGCATGACTACAGAAACCTGCAGAAGTCAAGTTTAAAAAAAAATCGGCTAACTTTATCTCACATTCAAGTATTCATGCTCTACATATGCTGGTTACGTAAAGAGGGAAAAAGGACAGGGCACAAGATTCCTGGGGTGAGAATGAAAGGATTTTAAAAAAAAGCAACAGTGAAAAAGAAAGGGGAATCTGAAACAGGTGGCCGAGCAGCCCACTGAGAGAGACACTGCTGGACAGGAAACAGAATGAAAGAGACAGAGAGAAAGAGAGAGAGGGAATGCATTTTTAAAATGACACATGAAATGGAGTGCAAAGACACACATTCTGCCCTGAACAGCAAACACACTCCTACGACAACCTGCCAGACAAATACAACTGAGTATTCTGAGAGACAGAAATGTGACATCAGTGTATGTTGAGTCACAAATGCACTGAAACAGATATTGGGATGGAATTACATTAAACAGTATTGCTGCTCACAATACATATTTACCTCTTTAATGTTACACACACTACCGTACAAATGTTTTGAGGTGAGAACGATTTATTTTTAATTAATACTTTTATTAATCAGAGGCATACCATTTATCTAAAGTGAGAGTAAAGAAAGGTATAATGTTACAAAAGATTTCAATTTCATATAAATGCTTTTTTAAAACTTTCTATTTATTTAAATAACCCTGAAGAAAAATGCATCACGGTTTCCATAAAAATATTAAGCAGCCAAACTGTTTTCAACATTGACAATAATTCTCGAGCATCAAATCATATTAGAATCATTTATGAAAGACACTGAAGAATGGAGGAATGATGCTGAGGATTCAGCTTTGCCATCACCGGAATAAATTACATTTTAAAATATATTCAAATAGAAAACAGTTATTTTAAAATGTAATAAAATGACACAATATTAGTGTTTTATGCAATAAATGCAACCTTAGTGAACTTAGGAAATCTTCCAGACCCCAAACATATGAACGGTAGTGTATTTCCGAGTGAAATAGGATATTCATCATCAAGAGCAGGACTTGATTGGTGTGTGAGCGTTACATACCAGTTAATCAGCCAGACAAAAAAGACTGACTAATAGCTATTTGGCTCTTGGTAAACATTGTTCAACAGCACACACACAACCGTGTTGTCAACAGAAAAGGAAAGTTGATGATGGATATAAAAGGCAGATTCTGTTTGGAATAACAAACACCACTTAAGAGTTCAACATGAAAAATGAGTTTGCAACCCAATTACTTCTGTAATACAATGCATTTCTGAATGAAAAATGACATTCAATAAGAAAAAAGCGTGTAAGGCTGCACTTCATTTTATCCACTGGGAACTGAATGTCTCATGAAAAGTAGCTGTTTCATACCAGAATGTTGACAGGCGGTTGATGGGGAGAGATTTTAAAATAAGATGGATTGGTGGCATCAGCTGAAAAGGAAAGTCTCTTGTGAGAAGGTTGAAAGATTACAAATACAAAAGTTTTCTTTGGAATTATGTGCTATGATGAATTGCGCATGATAAGACCAGGAACATGATTTGAGAAAGTAAAGGGGACAGGAAGAGGACAAAAAAGAAAACTATTTCTTGACTAGGTCCTGCAGTCAGTTGCAATAAACTTCTTAAGTTTATTATAAATGCTATAAAAAAAGTTCATTAAACCCCTTACAATCTGTGTGTTAAACTCAAAACTGTAGCCTATACATTAAAAATCAAGACAGAAAAAGAGTCATCTGGAGAAGTGCATAGGAATCTGTGTCTTTTTGTCCCCTCATACACAATTTCACACACTTAACGCACACACACACGTCAAGTCAAATAGGGCTGCATAGTTAAGACGGGTCCGTGAGTATAAATATCTCATATTGGCAATTGTGTGGGCACTGCAGGAAGTGACATCAGGAGCATTTCCAAACGCACACGGCCAGACTTCCCCCGAAGAACATGTAGAGCAGGTTCTTGACTTCATGGGTCACCTCGAACCCAAACCCCTCACCGATCACCACATGCCACGAACTGCCAAACTTCTTATCCATGGACTCCTTGATCATTTTGGCAGCATTCTGAAAATAGAGCGAACCAGCGAGAAAGAGAGCAAGATGAAAGCATGTAGGCTAGTAGAGCAGTCCAGATGGCCCGACTACGAGTGTGTGAAACGTCCTGACTCAGCACTAGACGGAAACCCAGAGCCCAACCCTACCTGTGTGACCTGGGGAGCGCATTTATTTGAAAGCCTGTGCTTAATAACACTAACACACACAAACCCGACTGACCTCATTGTTAGAGGCAAATTTCTCGCAGGCTGTGACGCAGAGCTCCATGGTCTCCACGCGCATCTCCTCTGCCATATCCGTGTGCTGTAGAAAAAACCAGAAGAACATATACTGGTCAAGCTCTTACAGGTGCAACGAGATTATTTTCTGAGGTCACTATATTATATTTATATAAATATAAGTATAAGTATTTATATAAGTAATATGAAGTTACGATGACTAAACGCCTGTGAAGAGACGACTCAACGCCGGCGATATGTTATGCCCTAAATTAATACATGATTAACTAAATGTATTTTTTTTTATGTACATTTCTGAAATGCACTTTCTGTAAAGCTGCTTTGAAACAATATGTATTGTGAAAAGCGCTACACAAATAAATTTGAATTGAAGTATACATTGCAGTTCAAAAGTTTTGGGTCAGTATGGTTTATTTTATTCATCGAGGACACATTAAATGTCAAAAGTGACAGTAAAGACTATTTCAACATTCTATTTCAAATAAGTGCTGTTTTTTCAACTTTCTATTCATCAAAGAATTCAGTTTCCACAAAAATATTAAGGGGCTCACTTGTTTTCAACCTTGATAATCAGAAATGTTTCTTGAGCATCAAATTAGCATACTAGTATGATTTCTGAAGGATCATGTGACACTGAAGACTGGCGTAATGGTGCTGAAAATACAGCTTTGTTCACAGGAATAAATTACATTTGAAAATATAGTCGAACAAAAATGAGGTGCAGTATGTTGAGTTGACCAAGGCAGTGCAAAATATTAAGATTGTAAAAAGATAGTAAACCAAGTCAAATAAAGAAGCAGTGCAAATATTACCTGTGAGAAAATGCATGATGGATAAAGATGTTTAACTTTTTTTTTTAAGGACGAAAAAGGGAGCAGTTTGAATGATAACCCTAATACAGACAAAAACAGACAGATGCATTCATAACTGGTTCTTTCTATCTAGGTCACAGCATCAGTCGAGCTGCACCCACCCTGATGAGCGGAAAGCTTTGCAGTCTTTTGTAGTCGGCATCCTCTTTTTTACCATCACCGGTTTCTGCCATCCTTTTCTTTACTAAAAAGAGAGAAAGAGAAACAGAGGGATTAGTGATGAAAAAAACCCCAGAACATTAGGTCAAATCTCTCACCCATTAAGTAACAAAAAATTGCAGAAGATCAAAAATCTTATATTTTCAGCATTTGAAGGGAGAATGAAAAAATATTTGTTAGTAAGCACAATTACCAAATGACATTCATTATTTTGTATTTTTAAGCAAAATGTGAACATTCTCTTGCAGGGTGACTGTCATCATCAAATATGTAAATTTATCACAAAAACATTGAGGATAGAAATACTATTTTTAAATATATTGCCATTATTTACATACCTCTTGGGAATCTTTGATAATGATTTTTGAAAATGAGTACCCCAACATCAAGTAAATTAGACATCTTGTAGCTTTAAAGCGGTGTTGGGGATTTGTGTTTAATGTCCTACTATTAACTCAATTTGTAAAGTTTATGTGTAACTATTTCTGTGTTCTTAAAGTGCAATGCCTCAACATAATAAAACCAGATTCTCAGCATTAATGAGCGTAAAATGAGTTACAGGTTGACTTATTAATACATTTGAACCATAGGGTCATTCCGTATCAACTTAAAGGGGTAGTTCACCCAAAAAATGAAAATTAGCCCATGATTTACTCACCCTCAAGCCATCCTAGTTGTATATGACATTCTTCTTACAGACGAATACATTTGGAGTTAGGCTGTATATTAAACAATGTCCTGGCTCTTCCAAGCTTTAATAGCAGTGAATTGCTGTTTCTGTTTTTATGTTTCTGTTTCTGTTATTAAAGGCCTTCTAAAGTGAACCGATTAGTTTGTGTAAGAAAAATATTCACATTTAACATGCTACAAAGTAAAATTCTAGCTTCTGACCAAACACAGTCTAATTGCGTCTAAAGCGCAACTTACGCAACTTGTGACATCGGAAGTAGCGTAGTGCGTCATGGCGTAGCGTAAATATCAGCAGTATGTCATTAATCGCATAAGTTGCGCTTTACACAACTTTAAGTGTAATTGTTTGGTCGGAAGCTAGTTATTTTACTTTATAAAGTTTTAAATATGAATATTTTTCTTACACAAACGCATCGCTTCACTTCAGGAGGCCTTTATTAACCCCCCTGAGCCGTGTGGAGCATTTTTATCATGGATAGATGCACTTTTATGGACTTCAAAACAGAAACAGCCATTCACTGCCATTATAAAGATGGGAAGAGCCAGGACATTTTTTAATATAACTCCAATTGTATTCGTCTGAAAGAAGAATGTCATATACAACTAGGATGACTTGAGGGTGAGTAAATCATAGGCTAATTTTCATTTTTGGGTGAACTATCCCTTTAACCAGATGTCCCTGGCTAAAAAATTTGATTTTGATCACTGAAATGAAGAAGAAAGCCAAAATATTAAATGTCATCAATGTATAGGTTATTTACGGAGTAATTAACGTTTTGAGTGACAGGGACGCAAACTTTGGAAATAGAATATTTATGGCACTCATATTATACACGTATGTATTCTATGCAATTGTGTTGATAGAAAAAACGAGATACATTTCTAGTTTCAACATTATATGTTATTCCTCTTTAAAAGACAAAAAGTATCAGCTGTATGCAAAGTGACCCACATTTGGTTTTTGACCACTGAAAACTTGGAACTTTTTACTCATTTGCTCATGGAACTGCAAAGATCTCCATATCTCTGGGATTGAACCATATAGGACCTTTAAAATGAAGATACCGAAAGAAATGTTTGTTAAAAAAAAAAATCCAAAAGAACATCAAGATATCTTTAATAATTCTGGAGTTAGAGGCATGCAAACTTGAGGCAAAAAACACAAGAAGTGCTTTTTCCCATTTTTGAACTTTCACCGTTGGCATATAATGCAACAAAGATAGCTAAAGTCAATAGATTTTACTAATAGACCTACCAATCTCTATGTAAAAATAACATCGTTCTAAAGTCATTTTTAACCCTTTGTAATCTGGCTCCAAATCTACAAAATAGTAGATTACTCCGTAAATATACATCCATGACAAAATATCGGCTTCCATCACCATTTATGTTTGCCTTTTTTTCAGACTTTTTTTGTTTGTTTACATTTTTGAAAGATTTGAATATGGAAAATCTCTGAAATTTGGTTGATTTGACATGGAATGACCCCATAGGAGTTTCACTGAAACATTATGTCAAAATATCTTAAAAACTATTATCTTGAAAGTAGTGTGACATGATTAACTTCATCTAAAACTTAAAAATCTAAAACAATTTTAAAACAACCTTTTTTTCTAACTGTATACAGTATAACAGATAACTATTATTGTGCAGTTTTCATGACCTCATACTGAGAGATTACATGGAATACTTGTACTTTTATAGCTTCATTTGTCAAACCAAATCATTTAAAACAAACTATTAAGGCAAATTTAAAGTAGACATGAAACAGAAGTTGTGATATTCTTTTCCTCCCTATTCTATTAGGGTTAAATTTTGTCCATGGGAAATTAATTGAATGGTTGTAGTTTGCTATCGCTGTGATCTCATGTGAGTGACAGGTTGTCTCGCCCTCATGTCGACAGATTTATTATAAATAATACTGCAATATTCCACAAAAAAAACAATGAATTGTCAATTTAGATTTCATGGTGAATTTAATTTCAAATTTCGAAGGACTCGGTGAACAGTTCTAATACAAATGTAAATGTGTTTTAATCTAAAATCTTAATGTTGAAAAAGAAAGTTTAAGTCCATGTTAACAGTCAGCTAACGTAACGTTCGTAACGCTTAAACTGTCATTATCACGTGTTTTTAAGTAACATAAATTACTGTAAAGGCATTTTGCATTCATTGGACAAATACCTTCACTCTACAAAAGAGTCAACAGACAATTATTATTCAGTTAAAGATTTTGACAGATACACATTCGTTTGTTTAAAACTAATTATTAGAGAGAACGGTGACAGTCCCAAAACAGCTTGCTGAAATTACAAACTGAACCAGTCTTACGAAATTAACACCAAGTTGTCGTACCAGTCCAAGTAAAAAAAATAAAAAAATAGCTAGTGCAAAATTACATATGTTTTCAGTCTTTAGTGCATTATAATGTAAAAGTAAAAGAAAATTATACAAACAAACACGTGTCGAGTAAGCGTTTGTTTTTAGCATCTCTGAGCTAATGTTAGCTTGCTAGCTCGACACCATAACTTAAAACGCTACGACTGATACATGATTGAAAACAATGGACAAATATAAGCATGTAAATCATTTAAAGCTCTGAAATAGTTCATTTACCAGCACAGTTCAATAACGTACCGTTCTGTCGCGCTGTATACAGAGACACTTTCCTCCACTGGTGTTGTCATGGATACACACCGGCCTTGGCAACCTCCGACCCACGTGACCTGTTTATTTCCGCCTCCGTCCACTGAATTTCTTTTTCTATGCCATAAGATTTTTGGACAGTACCATTAACTTTTTACCATTAACAGTGACAGTTAAAAAAAAAAAAGGTGTTTTTGTGTTAAAACCATAGACTGTAAAAAAACAGGTTAAAACCTTACATGGTTAAAACCGGGTCAGCCGGTTGGTGTGCCACACATGTCAGTAAACCTTTTGTTATTTTGCATATAATGGCATTAAAGCAGTTCAATCGTGAATCATCTGCGAAAGAGAGGCCAGAGAGGTAATCCCAGCGGGAATTATGACATTTTGGAGATTAAGGAAACTACTAGGTAATGTGGGCCATCCACATTAGTGTTCTGCATTAATCCAACCAAAGTTCTGATCAGGATTGTTGAAAATGGCTCACACGTCTTTGATTATTTTTTGGTCCACGTGCAGATGTTATTAAGCCTGGCTGCCATCAGCGCCCACACCGCCAACACAGATAACAGTAGGCTATTTCATAACAGAGACTAGAGGTTAAAATACCTCCTACACATCCTTCCCAAGCACTATTCACATCTCCACAGGGTACTCTGTTGTCTGTTTTTTTACTGCATTACTTTTCTGCACCTTATTTATTGGAATTTTAGAGTTGTAAAAACCTCAAAGCAGCAAACAGAGTTGGAGATTCCCAGCTAAACACGGTAATACTTGATTTAAGGTCAATCACATGAATATGGTTATTAAACAAATCATTTTCTTCTTGTGAAGAAGATTTTAGAACCATGAGGTTCATTCTCGTGTTACACAGCACGTTTAAGCTTCTGCAAGAACCAATGAAGTTCATTCTCGTGTTACGCAGCACGTTTGAGCTTCTGCAAGAACCAATGAGGTTCATTCTCGTGTGTTACGCAGCACGTTTGAGCTTCTGCAAGAACCAATGTGGTTCATTCTCGTGTTACGCAGCACGTTTGAGCTTCAGCAAGAACCAATGTGGTTCATTCTCGTGTTACGCAGCACGTTTGAGCTTTTGCAAGAACCATTGAGGTTCATTCTCGTGTGTTACGCAGCACGTTTGAGCTTCTGCAAGAACCAATGTGGTTCATTCTCGTGTTACGCAGCACGTTTGAGCTTCTGCAAGAACCAATGTGGTTCATTCTCGTGTTACGCAGCACGTTTGAGCTTCTGCAAGAACCAATGAGGTTCATTCTCGTGTGTTACGCAGCACGTTTGAGCTTCTGCAAGAACCAATGTGGTTCATTCTCGTGTTACGCAGCACGTTTGAGCTTTTGCAAGAACCAATGTGGTTCATTCTCGTGTTACGCAGCACGTTTGAGCTTCTGCAAGAACCAATGAGGTTCATTCTCGTATTACGCAGCACGTTTGAGCTTCTGCAAGAACCAATGTGGTTCATTCTCGTGTTACGCAGCACGTTTGAGCTTTTGCAAGAACCAATGAGGTTCATTCTCGTGTTACGCATCACCTTTGAGCTTCTGCAAGAACCAATGAGGTTCATTCTCGTGTGTTACGCAGCACGTTTGAGCTTCTGCAAGAACCAATGTGGTTCATTCTCGTGTTACGCAGTGTAACAGGTACAAAAAGTACACTGTTAAAATACATGAATTGTTTGTTAGAATTCACACCAAACGTGTTCATTTACGGATATAGCTGCCTTATTGAGATGACTGTTTTCCCCTTTAATTTTACTGTTACTCTTGCTCTTTGCATTGGTGATGCACTGGAGAAGAAACAAGGGTGACTCTCATTCACGAAGAGGCTGCTTTACTTGTTCTTTATCAGACGAACAAAAGATCAGCGAAACGCCGACTGCTGTCCCGTTCTTCACAACGCACAAAACACAACACAGACAACATACCAGTTACAACAGCACGTTTGAGCATCAGCAAGAACCAATGAGGTTCGTTCTTGTGTGTTACGCAGCACGTTTGAGCTTCCACTAGGTTTGTTCTTGCGCGTCAAGCAAGTTCAATTGAGTTCTGTTTATGTTCACTGATCAATGTTTAAACGTGAATAAAAGCCTAAATTAAATCTTTTCTTCATATAAAGCGACCGGGTCACTTAAAAAAATAGATTAAACCGGACAATTCATATGGATTAGTTTTATAATCTCTTTATGAACTTTATTGAATCATCAAAGTGTCAGTTGCATAGCTGTCAATGGAGGGACAGAAAGCTCTCATTTCATTAAAAAAGATCTTCATTTGTGTTCCGAAGATTAACTATCCCTTTAACTAATTTCCAAATGTGTTGAGGATTCACAAGGATTTAACAGAAAACACGTCAATCTTCATTTATCCTTCATTCGAGGACAAATTGAAGAACAATGACAAATGATGACAAGAAATGTCAAAATTAAAATATGCTTATTTGAGATTCCATATTGGCAGAACTTTTGGAGAAACTCTAGGCCACCTTTTAAAAACACATTAAGCTTATTGGTCTGTGCTTCTCAGGTACAAAGGTGTTAAAGTAGCATGCTCTTTTAGTTGAAAGATCTAGCTGTCTCAATCATACAAAAAAAATCTAAAATGAAGATTGGATTTAGATGGAGATGACAAAACTAGACACGCAAAGCAACATGGTGATCACCTATACAAATATGCATTTTGTGTGTACAATTACATTCAGTCAATATGTACAAGGATGAATAGGACTAATAAACAGAAATAGTGCACAGCCTCTCAAAAACATTACATTCTCTCACATCATGGACATTTGTACATCCCCTGGTTCTGTAAAAAACAAACTGAACAAAAACAACAGAGAGAGAGAGAGAGAGAGAGAGAGAGAGAGAGAGAGAGAGAGAGAGAGAGAGAGAGAGAGAGAGAGAGAGAGAGAGAGAGAGAGAGAGAGAGAGAGAGAGAGAGATGAAAGAGAACACTGGTGTTTGTTGTGCTATATATATTTTATTCTCATTGCCATCTTAGATATTGACGCATTTGATCTCAATTTCAACACAAAGACACAGACAGAATTCAAGAAATGAACATTATGATAGAAGAAAGATTAGAAAAATGTAAATGAGTAAATCCTCAGAGTGTAGAAAAATGTTCAAGCAAAAAGAGAGAACTTTACATCCAACTTCCAAGACATTTCTTCATTCAAAAACAAATATATTCCAGAAAAGGTAACAGTATTTAGCAATCATTTGTAAACCACTCTTTCTGAATACAATTCAAAGCTTGTTCATGTACAAATTGAACATCACAAAATGACCACTGAAATGCAAACAAACAGGCATTACACTAACAATAGCAAGTACACTATACATCAGAAAGAAAATATATTCAGTGCTGAAAACATTATGATGATCTTGTGCAGTTCAATCGTATGGCCACGGAAACTCAAAACACATGCCATTAAAACAACTGTTAGCAACATACACAAAATGACATCCATAATCTCAGTTTTGTGTGTCCGTATATGTCTTCTGATTGCACATTTGGGACAGCATTCTTGTGTTTGACAAGGCCACAAAACAGGCATTTTTCAGCCTGCTGCATTTTACACAGAAACTATATTGAGTATAATCCACATAAAGCATATCATATGTGCGATAATTTACATAAGCTCTTTAAGAGATGTCTATTCAGTCACAGTTATGAAGAGAGAGAGAGAGAGAGAGAGAGAGAGAGAGAGAGAGAGAGAGAGAGAGAGAGAGAGAGAGAGAGAGAGAGAGAGAGAGAGAGAGAGAGAGAGAGAGTGAGAGATGGTGGGATATACATATAATGGTGTAAATAATATACATTAATCATACGGAATGTTTGTTGCTTATTTTACAAATATAATTTTCTTGAGTAGATTTTTTTATAAATCTATATAGGCTATATTTGCTAATTTCTCAGCATGAGAAGATATTTGTTTGTCTGTGGATATTTGCAGATTACGTTGAACAGGAACACTGAAAACAGTTCTCAGAAAGCATGTCATTGCAGATGCCACATTATAAAGGGTTTCAAAACTATGGCTTTAAAGGTTTAATTAATAGCTATTCGTTGAAATATTGCTGAAGTATTCATCTGGCCAAATGCCTTCTTCAACAGCTCCTTTTTCTGTCGTTCGTTCTAATTCGATGTGATTTTGATGATGTTAAAGGGTTTTTAATGGAGGAGAATTCAGGACTGGCCTGACCAATAGGATTCCGTCTGTTAGAGTGATCACCATAGAAACAGTGTGATTAAAAAACATCTAAAAAAAAACTTGAATAGATCAAACATACAAAAAAACCTAGTATAAAAAATGGCAGACTAAAAGCAAACAAATTCCCAGCAGTTTGTGTGTGTGTTTTTCAAAACTAATTTCAATCAAATAGGCTACATTGTATAAATAACAACAAATCTGAAAGAGTATGCAAACTTTGAACTGTGGTAAAAAATAAATCCTTTTATCAAGCACTGACACTGAAGATGCACATCAAATGATGTTTGCCACTAGTACAAAAAATGTCAATAATTTAAAACTTGATACTTTCTCATGCAAAACCCGCCCCATGAGTTGCTAAGGTGTTTCTAGGGCATTGCTATGCGTTTGCTAAGGTGTCCAGAATGGTCTTTAGTATATTGCTTAGGTGGTTGCTAGGACATTGATAGGTGGTAAAGAGCCAATGATATTGGATATGATAATCTGGTCCCTAGATATGGTCACATTAGCTAAATTTGGCCGAAAATTTCCCTGGAATCCAAAATTCGCTGACAGTATGTAAAGAATAGCTCACAAGCCACTTTCAAACCAAGTAGCTTTCTTTTGGTCAACATGGCGAATCCACGTGACCAATTTGAACTATTGACCAATTTAAATCGTTCGCCTCACCTGGATTCCTTTTGAAAAGACTGCATTTCATTTGCGAAAATTCACCAAACAACAGTAAATGTGACTCGGTAAATCTATAGGATATTTGCACCCATTTTATCATCCACCAAGTGAATTTTTTTTTTTTGGCTTGCTTAGAAAATAAGAGCACACTCTTCCTCAACAAGTCACACAATTTGAGGTATCATTCTTGTTTGTAGCACAAATGGTGTGGGACGAGCTATATGCGCTGAAATTTAACACTAAGGGTTAGGGGTTTGTTCAAAACACTAACCCTGAGCTGTAATAATAGTGAGGCTTGTTTCAGCAAACACCACTAATAAAAAACTTTGCCTTGAAATCAACATACATATCTGATGGTGGCTTGGGTTTCTGATGAATCTTTTCCATTTCTGAAACCATCTCTGACCCTTTAAACAACCCCTCAGGCGTCCATCACTGTATGGCACTGGTGCGATGCTGGCAATGTTCGGCCGGTTGCTTGGTGACGCCTCCGAAAACCTCTACCTCACGGCTGGTCCACGGGACTACGTTACCCAGCATCCCTGTGCTGCAGTGGGCAAGAGCAGAGAGCTCTACGTGTGAAAGTGGCCGGTCCCACACATTAAACTGAGACAACTCTCCCACCATAGCCCGCGACACCTCGAAACGAAGACCGCCCATTGAGCTCTGCAGGAGACAGGAAATCATATTCAGACTCTGCAGCAAAATATAATTATTATTATTATTTTTTAATTATTGTTTAAAAAAAATCATATTAAAAATTCTGACTTAGTGACAATGTTTTTTTTTTTTTATTACCGGCCTTTAGCACTAAATTATCATGCCTGGTACTTAATTTCCCAATTAAAATATTTTTGAGTGGTTCCTATACTTCAGATAAAATTCATAAATGTCTGGTAAATATTGTAGCTTATTTTTACAGCTTTTTAAAATACTATTTTAAAGACAAAATAAGAGAAAACTGATGACTTCGTTGTTGGAATTTTGTTCCATCCGGATCCATATATATATACATATTATAATAAATGTAGGGCTTTTTGTGTGGTTTTTGTAAAACTTTTTTTATTTGATTTAATTATTTTTATTAATTAAATTATTTATTTATTCCTCAGAAGCACTCATTGCAACAGTTAACTTCTAAACAAACTTAAGAAGCAACACCCAGTGAGACGATGACATTTTTTTTACACTGTGTATCAGTGTAAAATCTGATGGTGTAAAACCCCAAAACACAATTTTGTTGTTGTTGTTGTTGTCCAAAATTGCATTTAAACTTCATACGGCCCTAAAAGCCGCAAAAGGACATTTGGCCCTTTCTGAGACTGAGACAACTGATAGTGGGACCTTTTTAGTTTTATCTCCAGTGATAATCAAAAATTTGCCTGATAAAAATGTGATAATACCATTTCAGTGTGTCTTTTAAGGTGTCTTATATTCCAATATCAAAAAATGGTCCCAGACACATTCACAAATGTATAATATAAACTCTGCATAGCCAATGATACTGGAACTGCCCCGTTTGTATCATCTCAGAAAATTCCCAGAAGAATCCCATGCTAAATGAAAACATGGAAACATGTTTTTAGGAAACATGGTTTCCTTTATTTAATTTTTTTTATCACAGTCAGTCCACAGCTTAAAGCACAACCTTAGACTACAACATGGACCAGAAAATGATTTTAAGCCCTACTCGTTCTAATGTAAGGGTAAGTATGCAGGAGTTTAACGAAAGAGGGATGAAGAGGGCAGGAAAAGGTAAAGGAAAGGATAAACAAACATAGTGAGTTTTACAGTATGTGCTGTGTGAATCCTAAATGCTGCTCATCTTGACCTACCACCGTCTGGCAACCAGTTACAAGAGCCAAAGTCTGACGTACCTGTTCTTGGCCAAGCATGAGGGTTCCTCCCCGTCGGATGCTGTGACGGGTTGCCAGGCCACTTCCTTCACTCTTTAGCTTGCCCCCTAGATAGGCATGCCACGCTCCAGCTCTCCGGTTCCAGCTCACACACATATGCTGCCATCTGCCCACTGTTAAATTGAGAGGTATCAGCGCCACCTAAAGGATGGAGGATCCAAAAAAGAAAATCCCAAATTACAATCCAAAGACTGATCCTGTGGTCCATGTGCTTAGATAATTGAGACCAGCCTGAAAGCCTGAGAGATTATCTTGTACTGTCCACTATTACAGCTCTGAAAAACACACAGGCAAAAAAATTCAATTGCTTTAACATTCCGTAAGAGCTGTCGGAGGTCAATCTAAGCATCTGTTCATCTTTTACCAAAAACGTCCCTTAAAATCCTAATAGAATGCATCCTAAAACTTCACTCTGCCTTTTATGGGCTATTAACTCTAAGGACAATAACTACAAAGTTTTAATACTCGTTCTAATTCCCTTAGAATAGGGAAGCTACATATATATATATACAGTATATCACAGCTATAACAATAATAGCACAGAGATACAATATTGTTGGAATCACTTTCAGCTTTTCAGTTTTTCCAGCTGATGACGGATAAAAACATAGACAACCAATCAGAACCCACTGGACTTTAAAAAGCTTGAGCATTTAAAGCGGCAGGTTTGGACTGATATAGTTATCGTTATTGTTATATTCATAGTAATAGTTCTTTGTTGAGAATGGCTCTAAACTAAATAATATGGGTCTGATCAGTCCCAGTCATGTTATGTTCCATTGATGATTCAAGTCATTACGTTTTAGATTCCAGTATTGAGTCAGTGATCAGGTATCAGTGGCGTACGCGGGACTTCTGGTGATCTTAACCAAATATATTATGGTTAAATCTGCTTTCTAAGGGGCTGTTTACACAGAACCTTTTTGGATTCCACTGCACTGTTTTTTTTATTGTTTTTTTTAAAATGTAAACATGCACTAGACGTTCACACTTTAAAAGCACAGAATATACCCAGTCAGGTACATTCATATGGTTGGGAAATCAGAGTCCCTTCGGCAAATGACAGTCGGTTCTGTCAATGGTTCACACAAGTGAATTATTCTGCTAAGGCAGATGTTCACCATATTTAAAAAACAGAGTTCCCAGCACTACAACAAGTTGTTTTAAGGAACCAACATCAGAATCAGAATCGTTAAAAACGTCTGTCAAATATCATGGTGTGTTGCGCTACCTCATTATTAATGATGAGCTCAATGGGCCCATGAACCAACTGCTGAAGCACAAACTCATGGCTCTGGTCAGAAACAGCATAAGAAACTGTTGTTCCCAAGATGCTTTTTCCAGGTTTGAGCCACATGCAGACAGTCAAAGTGTGGAGGACAGGGATTTCCTGCTTTATGATAGCATACATGGAAGTGCTCCGTACAGGGAATGAAAGCCTGTAACCCTCTGGAAACTTGTTCTCAGAGACACCTGTGAAAAAAAATGTGAGAAATCAAATGAAAGGCAAAGAGTGAATTGAATTAAACTTGAGCTCAGAGAAGACAACACTGAATAAGAGTTTAAAGGCTAGGCAGGCTCAATACAATTTAACCTCTATTGACAGCATCTGTGTTAATTATCAGAACATTAGTTTTGACTCATTGCAAAATGATTTCCATTGTAATACACTTACAATGGAAATCAAAAAAAAAAAAAAAAGTTTTATAAAAAAAAAAATTCTCTCGTCATCTACTCAATCTCATGTTGTTCCGAAACTATAAAGAAGGTACTTTGGAGAACACTGTGAGGCAAACAACATTAGACCCCAATGACTTCATTGTATTGCAAAAAAAAAAAAAAAAGAAAGTGGGCCGTGATATTCCTCCTCTGTGGGCCGTGATATTTCACGTAGTGATATTGCGCCAAGCTTCTAGGTTACACGTCACACGTAGGCTCACTATTGGCCGACGCTGGTCATGTGTGTGATGCGTGACGTACAACTTAGAAGCTTTGCGTAGTTTCACTACGTGAAATATCACGGCCGAACGGAAAAGGAAATGATTGGTTGAATAAAGTCGTTATTTTTGTTTGTTTTTTGCGCACAAAAAGTATTCTCGTCGCTTGATAAACTTAAGATTGAGCCACTGTAGTCACTCGGACTATTTTAACGATGTCTTTCATTACTTTTGGGCCGGCCAGTTTCGATCCCTTAAGAAGCCTATGGAGGAGTGAGACAGCTCTCAGATTTAATCAAAAATATTTTAATTTGTGTTCCGAAGATGAACGAAAGTCTTACGGGGTTGGAACAACATGAGGGTGAGTAATTACTGTCATTTTTGGGTGAACTAACCCTTTAAAATCAATATTTCTTCCAGCAGTAAATCTGACCTCTTCCTCACCTTTCTCCAAAGTGCTTATCCGCTGGTTTACAGTGTCCAGTCCATAATCAATATTCTCCTGATGTTTCTGTGTCTCTTTGCGCAGAGCTTTCCTCTCTTCCTCCAGCAGTTTTATCTTTCTCTTCAGTTCTCCTTCCAGGTCCTCCACTCGTCTCTGTGCAGCTGACACTGGTGTACGGGCAGCGCTAGAGGCAGCACCTGCTGCTTTCTGTGAGCTTGAGTCTGTATGATTGAACGCTGGCGCTGCCATTTCAGACTGAAAAAAAGACAGTCATTTTTTCCCTGTGTGTTGTGATGTAAGAACCTCATCTATCAACATTACATGAATGCAATCGATCTAACAATGAAAAGTGAATGCATTTAACAAACTACTCATTCTTATTACTCAAAATGCAACTATTAACCTCCTTTCAAGTGTAAATGGTTATGCATCTTATATTCCGATGAAATCAAACCCTGCCTAAATTTAAGATTTAATATTGCACAATGTCATTTAATTGATTAATTAAACAGAATCATATTTCAAAGCAAATGTTGCACCCCTTGATGGGGCTTCTTGCAAGTATGAGAGAGGTTGGATGTGTAATGAGACCTTCAATTTCCCTACTTGCATGGAAATAACAAGTTCATTTCTATTCTATTATGATGGGATCATTACAAAGGCATCTGCACCAGCTTGCAGAGCTCCGATTCGCAGCTGCAGGAGTCCATAATATGCTTTGAGTGGAGTGTGTCATGTTTCTCATCTCTCCCCTGCTGTCACACATGCTGGAGTCACTGATAAGCTCAGGCTCCTCGCTTTTTAAACATACATTCTTGAGTATAACTGCTGTTTACCCTTTATTTTTCTTTGGTAAAATATAGGCTGTTTAACTGCTCCTTCTAGCAGGCTATATCTAGATTTTCAGACTGATTGATTTGGGTTAGATCGAGGTTAATCAGGTGCGCTAAATGTGGTCCTGATGAGGATGTAATTTGTTGTTCCCATCGGCTCGTAAACCATGAAATCGGCTCACTTAGCCCATGTTTCCATCGAAACCCAATCAGGGACGCGCATCTTGGCGCACAGCGATAAATCAAGCTAAGGCACAGGCGCACGATCGTACGTGAGCTGAAACGCAATCCAGGACTCGCGGAGGGATGAACTTTACAAGCACACTGCAGCACCTATTCTTACATGTTTAAAACAGGCTGATATAATAGCGTTTATCAACAGGTCAGATAGTAGCATCTAGCACCAGCTCATTTATTCAAAATACTTTTGAATGACCATTGTTTACATTTCTGAATCAAAATTAATTTTGATATATTTTTGTGGTGCTTAGTTAAATTTGTGTGTGTGTGTGGGGGGGAGATATCTCCTTAAATGACTGAAATGTATGTTATTGGGTTTTTTAACAAAAATTTACAATAGTAGATATTTTGTTTAAAAGCTTATTTATATTTGAAAAAACTTTTTCCCAGCCATATCAAAGACAGTGTGACATAACAAACATGCAAGAAACCATTTTGTTGTCATGTGACTTTAATAATTAAGTTTTTAATAACACATATTTTGAACTAATTTATAAAAGCCACGATAAGACTACAGCATGCCTGAAAAATTTAATTTCACAGATATTTTACCTTAAACAGTCTATTTATTTTTGGAAAATATTATGTAGGCTATTTAAGCCTATTAGGCTATTCTTTTTTTTCTCGCCCACTTACATATAAGTATATATATATAGGCCATTTTTTTCTTTTTTTCTTTTACAAATATGTGGAATCAACATGATTGCTACATTTCTACAAACTAAATTTTAAATTTCATATAAGCTACATGTCCCATTATTATCATCTATTATCATTTAACTTGATTCTCAGACACATGAAATATCTTACAAGATCTTGCGGTTTTCTTACCTCCAGTTTCTCAATGCGGTCTTTCATTTGAGTTATGGCATGCCCCAGCTCCTCCACCGCATGAGCCGTCCGCACTGAGGATCCCGCATCGTCCCGCATCATGAGTTGCTCCTTATTGTCTTTTCGCGCATCCCCAAGTCCAGCGCTCCGTTCCGGGACCTTCCGTCCCTTCAAGCCACTCTCGCATTCCGAAAGCTTTCCCGTTAGCTCCCGTATGGTTCTCTGATCGGTGAGGATCTCATCTTTCTGCTGTAGGACGGTCTGTCGGAGCTCCTCGGCGGTGGTGCGGAGGTACCCCCAGTCCTCTCCCGCGTATAACGACTGGTCGTCCGCTTGTTGCTGAAAGTTTTTCGGGTTGCACTCACCGGCGGGGACAGGGGTGCAGATGAGTCTGCTGTAGGTGACCTGCTGTTCACTTCCACCGGTCCCTAGTCCCGTCAAACCGTAGAATGTTGGCGCCTCCGGTCCTCCTCGTTCTCTGCTTGTCGCATCAGTGCCGTGGAGAGCGTCCAGCGGTCCTGATCGGGCGACGGATCCGGAGGAAAAAGCCTTCCCGGTTGCGCCCGGTGACAGCGACTGGTTGTCGGCCAGGGGCTGCGCTGCGGCCGCGGATGGAGATACGCTGTGGACCGCGGCGATGATGCAGATGACCGCTCCGATAAACGCCACCATCCCGGCGGCCAAAATTACAACGATGAACTTCAGGGTGGCGGTTAAAAAAAATCAGTATGAAAAGAAACAAAAGATAACGGGGATATTTAGACCTTAAGAATGATTTAATTTCATCAATAAATTCTTCAACCCACGACTCAATGTCAACGGCTTTTCTTCTGTAGCCTATAATGTGTCCACCCGCAGGACGCGTCTCTCTATATCTCCATCTCGGTATTACCGTGGGGACAACATGAGGTGGGGGTTTAGCTTACACATCATCAGGGGTGGGCTGCACATGCGAGGGAGGTGGAGACAACATCAACCTCATGTTCGACCAATGTGAGCTAGATTTCATATCGTCTGAAAAATACCTGTAGTGGTGCTTAGGAAAGCAATTAGCAGGATGCAATATAAGGCCGGGGGGTTGCGTCTAACCATGTCTTATCCCTATATATGATAGGGATATGCTATATCATATTTTAATACACTCACAATGTATACATATATTTATTAATGATATAAAAATCGATCTATCATAAAATAGCCTAGGACTATCTATTGTAAAATCTTTTTTAAATTTTTTTTATTAAGAATTCAATAAATGCAAGAAATAAGGCCTATCATTACAGTATGCAAAAAATACAGTGATGTCATTGTCATCTATGTAGCTAGTTTTTTTAATGTTTACTTTAGTTTACTTAATGCCGAACATCACATGAACAAACAGCAGGTCTCATTGCATCGAAGAAAAGCTGCGTCCGAAGGCTATACTCTCTTGAGCAGGTAGGCCTATAGGCTTATTTAAAAAAAGTAAACATCACGACTGCTTAAAAATTAGGCCCTACGTTCTATACTCTGGGTGCTTCTCATTTCTTATTTGTGCATCCTCGTTACCTTTCCTCGTGTCTCAGCTCCACCCCCAGGATGCAAGGGGAAGGCTGCAAGGAAAGAAATTGAGGACGGAGGAATCGAACGAAAGCTTTTTTATACATTGATTGGAATACTTGATCACTCGACGGTCACTTCAGAGCGTCATCAGCAGCGCTCAAAGGATCTGCCCTTATGTTGTTGAAGTTTGGTTATTTAAGAAGTTCATAATAAATAATAATTTCACGAGTTCACACTTACATACAATTAAAGGGAATAAAGTATAATGCATATGTGGCGTGCTGTCCGGGGGGAGGGCTCCGAGCTCGGAATTCGGCCCGAACCCAGAGTACTCCCCGTAAAGTGGTTTAGGACTAGAAGAGTGGAGAAGGGGTGGTGGAGGGACGCTGCTAAACTGTCAGAGAAATGAGGTGAGACTGCTGAGTCTATAGCCTATATACAGGTCCTTCTCAAAAAATTAGCATATTGTGATAAAGTTCATTATTTTCCATAATGTAATGATAAAAAATAAACTTTCATATATTTTAGATCCATTGCACACCAGGGACGGACTGGGGCTAAAAAACAGCCCTGGAGTTTCTCCCAAATAGGCCCATCATCCAGCCATTCGCCCCTAGCCACTAGGATGTCCTGATACTATGCCACAATACTGTAACCTATATCAGACAAGGTATTCACAGCAAGTAATATCTCAAAAACAATGATGACAATTGGGGTTTTGTTTATTAATGAAGCCTCAGTCTTCAAATAAAAAACAACAAAATGTACAATGCCATTACATCTGCATTGAAAATAAAATACAAATAATGAAATGTCACTGGCTACAGAAACCCTAATTACACAAACTTGTAATTCTAAAACATATAGTTACTATATACCAGGGGTCTGCAACCTTTTTGTGTGCGAGGGCTAAAGGGATAAAATAATCTAGAAGGGCTATACTCAAAAATATTTATTATACATATAACATGGTGGTGTTATTTTACCTTACCTTTACCTTTACTTTTAACTTTAACTTTTTTACTTTTCACCATCATATGCGAAATAATAAAATATCTTGATATTCTGGTTCAACAATTCCTGAAAAAATTGTAATATATATATATATATATATATTATTCTCTAAAAACCTATTGTAGCATAAACATTTAGTATAAATATTTAATGCAAAATAAATTAATAAACTGCCATAACTTCTAAACAAAAACATTACTGCATTACATTTAATAGCCTACATTTATAGGCCTACATGACTATTAATATAACAGCATTTTTAAAGCTGCTGTCCGTAGCTTTTTTTGGGTTAAAAATTATCCAAAATACATATTTGATAAAATACATAACCAGCCAGTGTTCAAAACTATCTGCTTGCCTTAGCTCGATGCAAAACGGTAAGCTTGTAATAATGTTTTTAATTCCAGTGGTACTGGTGGATTTCCGCGGGAGATTCGAGCATGTCTTTGCGTCATTACGTCACATCTGTACACATAAAGAAGGAGTCTCGGCTAGTATAAGCTATATTGCGTGTGAGGATGTTGGAGGTAGAGATTTATAGCCTTTTCTCACAGCACTTGATATAATTAAACTTATCAATTTGATGGCGGATCCAGAAAGGTTCAAACGACGATCATCATCAGTGACAACTAGAGACTCACCCGCTGTAACATGCAAAAGACTTCGTTCGGACTTCGGAGTGGCTACAGAAAAAAAGAGACTGCAACCGGACCCATGCGAAAACAAGGATAATATCGGAAGGACATTACATGATGTAGTCACGCAATGCTTGCTGACGTTGTTAACATTAACAATTTGAGAACATAGTATAGCTACTTTGCACGGTTTTGCGTGAAATGATAATTTATAAGCAATTGTTAGATTTAATCAGCGCGATTTACTGCAATGTCAGAACCAGAACAAAAGTGAATGTTTCTTACTAGTTCAGATGACATTTCCCGGTGATAATTGTTATGTTGGTCATACTTCCAAAAAGAATAATCTGTGATTCTGAATGACAATATCCACATCGGCGCGGTGACTGACAGCTGCACACTCTCCAAACACTGTGTTCATCCGCGCTGTGCCGTGTCGAGGGTGTTGAACTACAACCCACGTAAAGTTGATAATTCCGCGAATGACTGCAATTGCAGATTTCGAACAGAGATGGCGACAAAGAGGAAAAATGCCGGACTGCAGCTTTAATATGAATACAGGCACATTTCTGCCAAAAAAATTGTTTTACTAAGTTACAGTTAATTCATAAGTTGTGGAGTAAGTTGTCTTCTAACTGGTTTGTTCTTGGAACAATGTTTCACCTGTTTTTTTGCGTCAAGATGATGAGAATATCAGCGCTGTTTAATCTGGCTTTTAACTAGCTTAAATCACAGCCATCTGTGGGTTTATAATAGAGATAGAGAATTCCGCACTGAATTGAAATGCTTCTCAGTGGATCGCGCAACTCTGTGTAATAATGTTTGCATGATCGAGATCAGTCCGCACAGCTGCTTCGGCCGCGATCGCAGTTTTTTGGGCCGAGCTGATAATGCTCCGCGCTGGCATCCAACTTAAAGGTGCATTGCTGCCACCTACAGTACTGGAGTGTGAAACAGATTAGTGGGGGGAAAAAACAGGTGATGACTGCGTGTGTGGCGGGTGGTGGGCCGGCCCGCCGGCCGTCCTGGAGTACCGGCCGTTCTGTGATACTCCAGATCACACAGATGGCCAGTCCGCCCCTGTTGCACACCAACTGAAATATTTCAGTTCTTTTATTGTTTTAATACTGATGATTTTGGCATACAGCTCATGAAAACCCCAAATTCCTGTCTCAAAAAATTAGCATATTTCATCCGACCAATAAAAGAAGTGTTTTTAATACAAAAAAAAAGTCAACCTTCAAATAAATATGTTCAGTTATGCACTCAATAGTCAATACTTGGTCGGGAATCCTTTTGCAGAAATGACTGCTTCAATGCGGCGTGGCATGGAGGCAATCAGCCTGTGGCACTGCTGAGGTGTTATAGAGGCCCAGGATGCTTTGATAGCGGCCTTAAGCTCATCCAGAGTGTTGGGTCTTGCGTCTCTCAACTTTCTCTTCACAATATCCCACAGATTCTCTATGGGGTTCAGGTCAGGAGAGTTGGCAGGCCAATTGAGCACAGTAATACCATGGTCAGTAAACCATTTACCAGTGGTTTTGGCACTGTGAGCAGGTGCCAGGTCGTGCTGAAAAATGAAATCTTCATCTCCATAAAGCTTTTCAGCAGATGGAAGCATGAAGTGCTCCAAAATCTCCTGATAGCTAGCTGCATTGACCCTGCCCTTGATAAAACACAGTGCACCAACACCAGCAGCTGACATGGCACCCCAGACCATCACTGACTGTGGGTACTTGACACTGGACTTCAGGCATTTTGGCATTTCCTTCTCCCCAGTCTTCCTCCAGACTCTGGCACCTTGATTTCCGAATGACATGCAAAACTGAGCAACAGTCCAGTGCTGCTTCTCTGTAGCCCAGGTCAGGCGCTTCTGCCGCTGTTTCTGGTTCAAAAGTGGCTTGACCTGGGGAATGCGGCACCTGTAGCCCATTTCCTGCACACGCCTGTGCACGGTGGCTCTGGATGTTTCTACTCCAGACTCAGTCCACTGCTTCCGCAGGTCCCCCAAGGTCTGGAATCGGTCCTTCTCCACAATCTTCCTCAGGGTCCGGTCACCTCTTCTCGTTGTGCAGCGTTTTTTGCCACACTTTTTCCTTCCCACAGACTTCCCACTGAGGTGCCTTGATACAGCACTCTGGGAACAGCCTATTTGTTCAGAAATTTCTTTCTGTCTTACCCTCTTGCTTGAGGGTGTCAATGATGGCCTTCTGGACAGCAGTCAGGTCGGCAGTCTTACCCATGATTGCGGTTTTGAGTAATGAAACAGGCTGGGAGTTTTTAAAAGCCTCAGGAATCTTTTGCAGGTGTTTAGAGTTAATTAGTTGATTCAGATGATTAGGTTAATAGCTCGTTTAGAGACCCTTTTCATGATATGCTAATTTTTTGAGACAGGAATTTTGGGTTTTCATGAGCTGTATGCCAAAATCATCAGTATTAAAACAATAAAAGACCTGAAATATTTCAGTTGGTGTGCAATGAATCTAAAATATATGAAAGTTTAATTTTTATCATTACATTATGGAAAATAATGAACTTTATCACAATATGCTAATTTTTGAGAAGGACCTGTACACGTTTTAATCATGATTGCTGAGTGCTCTCCACCCGTGTTAATTATCTGAACGTGCTTCTCCCGAACTTTGTTAATAAAACATCATAAAGCAAGATACCCTGTTGAGATGTGTTGTTTATATAAACTGCAAAGGTAAAGTATAAATTTTAATTATTGTGACCGATGGGAAGGGGGATGAGAATTTATACGTGCGTCACGTTTAGTCGATAAAACACTTCCACATATTCACCCGTGCATTCTCGCTCATGACTCCTCAGGAAGCCTCATCACTCCTCGATCCTCGAGTCAGTCATCATGGCGTTAGCAGCGGCAGCCAAGCGCTCTGCAGCCTCTGTACTTTTCACTAGATCATTGTCATTACCAGAGCTCAAATCCGCCTACTCTTACCATAAAAAGGTGGTGGACCACTATGAAAACCCTAGAAATGTTGGTTCCCTTGACAAGAATGCCAAGGGCACTGGTTTGGTAGGCGCTCCTGCATGTGGGGATGTAATGAAACTACAGGTTCAGGTGGATGAGAATGGAAAGATAACAGATGCCAGATTCAAAACATTTGGCTGTGACTCAGCCATTGCTTCCAGCTCACTGGCCACAGAGTGGATGAAGGGGAAATCAATCGATGAAGCCCTGAAAATCAAAAACACAGAGATTGGCAAAGAACTTTGTCTACACCCAATCAAACTACATTGCTCCATGCTTGCAGAAGATGCTATTAAGGCTGCATTAGCAGACTACAGGCTCAAACAGAAGGACAACAAGGAGACGTTGGCAGAGGCTCGAAATAAATGTCCTAATTCACCAATGAGTCTGTTACCCACTCTTGTCGTGACTCAGAAAAATGGTGTAGTTTATTTCCTGCACTGAGGTTGCAATGAACATAATGGCCAGTGTCTATCATTACTATATGTGCGCTGCCTTCGTGTTTCTGGTTTGAAGTGGTTTGCATTGAGACTTTGGGGATCTTTGGATTAAAGTTTGTTTTCTGTATCTCTCTGAATCACGCACATTTGCTATAAACTTTATTTCCGGAAGATCTCATACTCTGACATGAAATGCCCTCAATGTATACTACTCAAATGCTTGTAAATGTATTCTCAAACACTTTATAAAAAGGAAAGTATGGGTTTTGAAAAAAAATTACATTTCTTGGAAATTTGCAGGAGGGTCAATGCAGTTTTGGCAGTGATGTGTAAGCAAAAAAAAAAAAAAAAGTGACACCCAAAACCAAAAGATACCTGCTTTGATGCTGTACTATTTTTTATAAAAACGTAATAAAGCTTTAGATGTTAATGTTGCATTAAAAAAACTCCTCGATCTTCGCGGTGCAGTTAGAGAATTGAGATGTCCTTCAAGATGGCTGAGCTCGATCGGTTTCCGGGTCATAGGATGGAGGACGGAGGAGAGAGGAGACGAGGAGGGATATTGAGAATCACCCAGTATGAATGTAATCCGGATGTACTATATTCGCCATAGTGTCACTGTCACCTGACCTACCAGCGTGAGTTGCGTCACTTCACTGCCATTCACAAATCCTCTCCCGTGGCCTCATGGGAATAGTAAAGTGGCCATTGTATGTGCACTTCAAACCTGTTTTACAGAGTGGTGCAGGTATGATGTCACTATGTAGGCCAATCGGCAGTTACCATCACACTGGTTCCCTCTACAAAAACACAATAGGATTTTCCCATTATGGATTAATGCAAAAAACAAGCTCTAAGATCAACAAAAGTTTATGATACTTACACGTTTTGTCCGTCAAGATAATTATCAGATGAACACAACTTTTATGAATTTTGAAGCCTAAATGTAGTCGCAAGTAAAAAGCTGAAGGTAGGCTATAAACAAACTACACCACGTTCCTACAACTTCAACGTCACCATCACTAAGCTTCCCACCACAACTCTTTCAGTTTTTATCTAAAAACCTTTTCCCTGAAAGTTTGAGTTAGAAAAGTTTGTAAGAGCACAATTATGAGCATAACGATGCTGTAAAAGTGAAAGGAGTTTACCTGTTCGGCGTGATGACATTTAATCTCCTCAACAGCCTCTGTAGTCCCTTTTATCTACTTGATAGCAACCGCCTTTTTCAAGACGCTTATCAGCTTAAAAAATCTTGAGTGAGGTAATACAGATGTTTTTCATGACATAGAATTAAACGTGAAAGTGTCTTGAGCTTGTATTCACCACAGACCTTATTTCAACCATTTAACCAAAAACCCCATTCAAAAAACCCTTGATGGACGATGGAACCGGAAGTGCTAAAATGCTAATTCGTTTCCGTGTTTTGACCTACAAAGTGATGTCATACCTGTCCTGCACCGCTCTATACCGAAGTTCGTTGCGCACAACTCCCACAGCAAACAGTCTCGCAATGAATGTCAATATCAGATTTTCAAACGATCATTTCTTAAAGGTTTATAAAAACCAAAAAATAGATAGCACACTTAAGACTTTAGTTACCCACAAAACAAAGTTTGAAAGGGGTCTTTCTGAAGAGAAAAATAATAAAATGAAGAATTTGCTTGCAAGTCAACTTTAAATGCGAAATTAAAGTGTATAAATGTTTTGATATTGACTTTCTATCATCAATGGGCTAGTACAATTTTTATACTAAAAACAAGTTGTGGCAACAAATTTGCACGCCTCTTCCTGTCCTCGTTTATGAGCATCCCGGATAGGTGTGTCGAAACCTTGGAATCCCTCTGATCCCAAACTGTCCCCAGTGAAATGTGAAATCAGCGAGCACAGGGGGAGATTAGTGTACTGGATACGCATGACCTTATCATTTCACAGCAACTCAGCAAGTCTACGGAGTCTCCCTTTTATGTGTAATCCACCTCCACACACGCTCACACACGCTTACACACGCTTACACTCATAGGCTACACCACGCGTGAGGAGGATGAGAAAATCGTGCCTAAAAGAACCCAGGCCAAAGCCAGAAGATTAACACAGATTTATATCAAATAATCCCTAACGATCATGTTTTATGTGAGGATTTTTGTATTTCTGGAGGCTTTAGGTTATTTCAAACTTTAAGTAACTTTTTCTTTTTACTTTGAAACCTCCTTGATTAAAATAGCACTGTGTTGGTGGTATTGCATAATGAAGCAGCATCAAATGACTGCAGATGTTTGATTGGATCAAAGTGAACAGGAAATTTCTATATGTGTATGAATTCATTCCATTACTGCCATTACATAATAAATAAATAAAAACACACAAAAAAACAATCTGGTCACCCTCTCCTCTCGCTGCCACCATAATTCTAATGTTTGGAAAACAATGATTTCTCCCACACCACCTCATATTCCCTGTTCCGTCACTTAAAACATTAGCCATAATCATCCGTAAACTTTATTTGTGAATTCATAGTAAGTCAAGAGATTGAAATTCTTGAGATTTATTGGTTACAAGTACAGCCTTATGGTCAGGCCTGATTTTGATTCATTTTGTTCAACCCAGCTTGTGGTTGCCAGTTTTTAAAGTCGGCATCAACCAGAAGTTGCGATAGTCTTTTCTTCTCTATTGTGATATATATCCAAGTGAAATGGCTTTGTAAAAAAGGTAGGGTGGGACTTGATTTTGTCTATAAGGAATTGATTGGATGGTTGTGGTTTGCTGTTGCTGTGATGTCATGTGAGTGACAGGTTGTCCCGACCTTGTGCCAGTAAACACATCATCAGAGAAGAGAAGAGATGACACTGCAAGAGGGAGGGGAAGTTATTTTGTTGAAAGATTATAAGGACACATGAATTTTAAACAAATAATGATGGATAGATAAATTAATAGATGAATCATTTACAATAAATACTGCATTGTGCAATATTCCATAAAAAATAGAATTGTGTATTTTGATTTCAAGGTGACTTTAACAAACGTGATAAGAACAACACCTAGATAAGAGAAGGGGAGGAGAGGGAATACTATTCCTGATTTCATTAAAAGCTAAAGTGGGACAGCTGTCTAAGAATAGAATGTGTCACTCTAAAACAAAGACTGACTGTGCTATGTAAGAAAGATTAAAGAAGGCCACTGTTAAAAGCATACAAAAAGTTTTGAAGCTACTCATCTCAGATGGATAAAAGAATCCTTAAATCTAACAGTCTGTCTTTAGTTACTGAATCCAAACCATTTTTAATCAAAAATAAGCAAACCTACCTGAAATGACAACTGGATCACAGAATTATAACAACATAGCATAACAGTAGCATAGCAGGATATGAAAGATACATACAGCCTTGAAAGATGGCAAAAACATATCAAACAAGTATGTCTTTGCTATGCTGATGTTTTTTAATTCTCAATGCACATACGTTTCTGCTCCACCGTTTAACATGTCAGGAGACCTTTTCCTCTTCAGGGAGCAGATCGTTCTTGTTCCTTTTTGAAGTGTTTTACTGCTGCCCTCTAGTGGGCAGTTAACATTAGGGCCCTCTGGAAATCACAGTAGTTAACACACTTAAAGGGATAGTTCACCCAAAGATGAAATTTACCCCATGATTTGCACCCTCAAGTCATCCTAGGTGTATAGGATATGCTTCTTTCAGACGAACACAATCGGAGTTAGGCTATATAAAAAAATGTCCCAGCTCTTCCAAGATTTATAATGGCAGTGAAAACAGTGAACTATTGATGAATATATTCAATAGTAGCTTGTGCCAATTTAAGCTCTTAAATTTTTTATCAAATGTAGCGCAGTGTTGACTTCTGCTGGTGAGCAGGGTGACTAATAAAGAGTTGTGTTTGTATTGTTACATGAATCAATGAAATGTTTTTAATTCACACTCGTTGTCCTTCCCCAAACCAAGATCCGCCTGATTCACATCCTGTTGATGCTTCAGAACCTGGAGTCTCTCCTGTCGGAGAGGAGGCCGTCCAGACAACAGATGGCCCAGCCGGAGCAGGACAGCTCAGCGTCAGCGCTTCCCCTGCTGAATGGCAGAACGGCTGTTGCTTCTGAAGAGACTCAGGAAACAAGGCAGCTGCAATTATATGAACTTCTGGAAAAACAGTTTAACACCATCAACAACACCCTGCAATCAATTGATTTGTCTTTAAAGAAGCTGGTGGAAAAGCAGTCACATGACACACTGCCACAATACATCAGTATAACACCCGCTGTTATAGAAAATCCTCAGGTAAGTCACAGATGTCATGATATGATTAACCCCTTATCCTTCCCTCGCACTTTGTAACAAGTCCTTCCCTCACGAGTCAAAATGACCCAAAGCCCTAAAATTATACCTTTTTTTTTTTTGTCCAGAAAGCTTATTTCATTTCATTTTGATATATTTTTAATGTATTTTTTGGGGGAGATTTTTTGTTTTATTTACCTTAACCTTTAAATCGAAATAACTCACAATTTCATGCATAACTCTTTTAATTCAGCTCAAAATATCTTACATTGGGTGTCTTTGCCGAAAAACAAAACAAAAAACAAAACCATGATATTTCATGACTTAGCTCTTTATGGAGCAAATGAGCTGTTCTCTGGGTCCTAAAAACAGTTCCCATCAGTAGCCTATGCATTCACATTCATATGTAGACATTATAAAATCATTTTTTGGAAAAGTTTTAGCATTTTTATGGTTTTTCTATGCACTGAAGCATTCCTCACATTCCATTCATTCCTAAGGGGGTCAAATTGACGAATTGAATTTCAACAACAAAACTCCTCGAATTAATTTTGTTTGTGTATTCGTGGTTCAATGCGACAAAACTCCGATGAACACATTTAATTTTTTTTAAATGAGTTTCAGGTCAAAACAGGGACGGACTGGGACTAAAAAACGGCCCTGGACTTTGACTAGGCCCGGCCCAAAGCAATCGGTGAGCGGAAACTCGACAACAACAACAATAACGCCTGCCATGAGTGTCACTTTA